ACCCCCGCCTTCCAGCCCCTTCCTAAAAGACACATGCCTAGTGCCTATATTTAGTGTCCTCGCAGCAGTTGGAGTCGCTTGCCCGAAGGAATGCTTGTGGCTCATCTCGGAAATATGCGTTCCTGTCCTTTGGTCTGAGTCACAGGCCTCATCCTGCCGCTTCCCCATCGTGTCACCTGGGTTCTGTGTCATTTCTCTGTCTTTGCCTCACCACTTTGCCAGGAGAGTCTAGGCCAAGCCCCCTTTATCCGTGGCCTCCCCATAGGACGTGCATTCATTTGCAAACCACGGTGGCCTTGTGGTCTTGGAGCGGGAGGCGGCCAGGTCAGCAGAGTTCGGCCTGCGGGCAGCACAGCCTGCCACTGTCCCCGACTGCTCCGAGGGACGCTGAGCGGCCCCTCCTCTTGGCAGGGTTCAGAGCACATTGTAACAGTTTATGTCTTTGATAGGCAAGAGCTGTTCCTTCAGCTGCAGACTGAACAGATGTATAGGAGAAATCCCGGGCCTTTGGGGCTTCAACTTAATGTGTCTAAGCCTCTGTTGTTACAGCCGGTAAAGAGGGAAAGCGGTATCTTTCAGTCAGAGGAACCGAGAGTGCAGCAGACCTGGCAGTGTTTAAAGGCGGCCTGACTTACTGGGCCGTTACTGAAGTTGAGGTTCTAGCACCAGCCGGGCCTGACCGGGGTTGAGCGCCCTGTGCACCGTGGTTAGGTCGCTGCGGTCAGCTGGGCCGGGGCGCGGCGACGCGGCCGTGTAGGGGTCGCGCTGTGTTCCTCTAACCCTGGAGACGCTGGCAGGCTGAACACGAGTCTCAGGACTAGGTCGCGGAATGAAAGCGCAGTCCCGGTTCCTCAGCGGTGGCCGCTGCGCCTGTGCACTCCTGCGTGGTGGTGGCCGTTGTGCCAGTGGCACTCTTTACAAAGTCCTGTTGCTGTGGGATATTGAACAGACCTGCCCATTCGGCCTGGGAGGCCCAAGGCTAGAGCCTCAGCTGAGATGTGAGGCTGAGACATGGTAACCATAGTAACCTGCTGCTGTTGTGGGCGGAGGTGGCTGCTGCTGGCAGTTCACTCTGCCTAACCTAAATCCAACGCGCTCCTGAGCTCCTGCGCTTACACCTGAGCTCATAGGAACGTTGACCTGAATAGGAAGATGGGCCTCTGGAGCTAGACACAGTCCCCACCAGCCCATGCGCTGCTTCACCTCACTAAGCCTCAGTTTTCTCATCTGTGAAATGGGAGTGCTATCCTGGGAGGAGTAAATGAGATATGTATATGTAAGGCAAACTAGTGGCATTAAAAGGTAGCTAGTAATAGCCACGTCTGTCTTATACCTCTGGAAACCGAATCTGTCTTTCCAGGCTGTGAGCTGAGGCTGATACAACAGAGGTGCTTTATACACTTGGTTTTCTGTGAAAAGTGTTTGGGAGAAGTTGGATTAGGACACATGTTTAAAAAAATTTTTGATGATATTGTATTTGTTCTGTAATCTCCTTAAAATACCCATGCTGGTAGGGCAGCCCCTGCTAAGCCTTTCTCCCAAGGGGACCCACTTAGGGGAGTCCTCGTNCCTCCCAGGGGGACCCACTTAGGGGAGTCCTCATGGTGGTCAGCGTCCCCCTCACCCTGCGACTGCCGTGGGCTCTGGACAGAGAGGCTGCAGGCACACATCACACACAGCTCGTGCTCCCCAGGCCCTGTCCCTGGTTTGACCCTGGGCTCCTTGCCCCTGTGCCCCCAGCTCACTGAGCAACAGTGGAATGAATGAAGGTCACTGGGCGGGTCCAGGGGACATAGGTCCCAGCTGCCTGGCTTCCTGCTAAGCAGGTATGAACTTGTACCCTCCTCCTTCCTCGCAAGGTTGTGGGCGGCTTTTGTTTTGCTTTGAAGTACAGATGGCTCAGTGCGGGAGGAATTCGTTTTAAAAGGGTTGTGTTTTTGGTATGATGGTAACCAGAGTCGAGGCGCGAGGA